CTCAACCCCCAGTTTGCAAGCTCTTTGCCCTGGATCTAGAATTGAATCTGGTAATTTATTAACAGTAGGAAAGGTGGGAGATTGCAAAATTTTCATAAAGATTACATACATTTGCAAGTTTCAAAGGCTTTTTATAGCAGCCTTTCCAAGAAGTGTGAAATGCTGTGCAGCGGTAAGAAACAGCTGGGGGAAAAAAAGAAACCCTTTATATTTGTTTGTATTTCACAGGCTCCTTTAGCAGACAACTTTGTATAATGACTATGTTTGTCTCCCAAACACATGGATTAAACTTTATCTGCAGTGACCTTTGGCTGATTAATGTATGATATCTCTTTTGTAAAAAGCTACTATGCAGGAACAGTTTGAGACCAATACAGATGGATCTGTAGACAAGAAGTCCTGTGAAGAGGCACTAAGGAACTGAATACAGGTAGTTAGTCCTTGACTTACGACTGTGAATGAGCTCGGAATTATGGTCGCAAGTTATGGCAGTTAAGCAGCTCACCCTGGGACTGCACCCAATTTTAACCTTTTTCTGCATTCATGTGAACGTTGAGGTAGTTAAGCAAACCCATTATACCCTATCACATTTTTTGTTGGCAATTCATACAATTAGCAACTTCCTCATTTTGTGCATGTGTATAGTACGTGCATATGTGGGTACTCACCCTTTTGTTTTGTTCAGTATGCATTGGAAGAGGAAGAACCAAATGTTTCCCTTTTTTGTGAATCCTGAGGTTTCTAAAAATTATTTAAATGATTAGGGGACCGGAGGCTAAAACATACAATAAACAGTTGCAGGAACGGAATATGTCTTGTCTAACGAAGAGAACCATGAGAGATGACAAGATAGCAGCCATCCAATATTTGAGGAGCCGCCAAAAAGAAGAGGGGGTTGACCAATTCTCCAAAACACCTGAAGGCAGGACAAGAAACAATGGGTGGAAGCTGGTTAGAGAGAGATCCAACCTGGAAGTTAGGAGGAATTTCCTGACAGTCAGAACAATCAGTGGAACGACTTGTCTCCAGAAGTTGTGGGTGCTCTATCACTAGAGGTTTTCAAGTAGAGACTGGTCCAGAATGGTATAGGATTTGCTGTTTGAGCAGGGGGTTGGACTGGAAGACCTCCAAGGTCCCTTCCAACTCTGTTATTCTGTATTCTATATTTTTCTTCCCTGTAATAGAGGCTCTATTATCTGCAATAAGGAATCCAGGACAAAACAAGATTTTTAGGCTAAGGGTTAAGCACTTGTATGCAAATTACATTTTTTAAAAAGTAAGAAGTCTATGTGGCTGCGATATCCTTTAGCCATATCATTGTAATGCTGGAAAGAGTGCAGAGAAGAACAACAAAGATGATTAGGGGACTGGAGGCTAAAACATATGAAGAACGGTTGCAGGAACTGGGTATGTCTAGTTTAATGAAAAGAAGAGACTAGGGTTGACGTGATAGCAGTGTTCCAATATCTCAGGGGCTGCCACAAAGAAGAGGGAGTCAAGCTATTCTCCAGAGCACCTGAAGGCAGGACAAGATGAAATGAAATGAAAGGAAAGGAAAGGAAACTAATTGAGAGAAGCAACCTAAAACTAAGGGGAAATTTCCTGACAGAACAATTAATCAGTGGAACAAGTTGTCTCAGAAGCTGTGAATGCTCTAACACTGAAAGTTTTTAAAAAGATATTGGATAACCATTTGTGGTGTAGGGCTTCCTAACTAAGCAGAGGGTTGGATTAGAAGACCTCCAAGGTCCCTTCCAACTCTGTTATTCTATTCTATTCTATTCTATTCTATTCTATTCTATTCTATTCTATTCTATTCTATGGGCCAGATGTGTCACACACTGGCCACGCCTATGCCCAGTTTAGCAAAGGGAGGGAAAGTCCTGATATGTCACGTGATGCTGCCATGATGACATGAATTTGACACCCCTACCCTATTCCATTTGGGACAAATGGCCGTCCAGTCTCTTCTTGAAAACCTCCAGTGATATATTTACAACTTCTAGAGGTAAGCCATTCCACTAATTAATTTTTCTTAGCTTTTGTCCCACTTATTTGCAACACCTGCATGTTTGCATTCCACTTGCATAATTCACATGGGGAAGACATCAAAATTCAACAAGGAGTTTGTTTTTCAGTTGCTTGAGAAAGAAGAACCCTGAACCAAGGTCACCCAGAGGCCTTCTGTGCCAAAGGAAAAAAAAAACTTGGAATCTGGGTCTCCATTCTTTTAGCCAAGCACCTTCCCCAATAAATCACATTGGATCTCCCACTAATAGACATACGCATACAGAAATGTTGAAAATGATCTCAATATCTGTGTCGGTAATACTGTATGGTGACATATGCCATCTTTGGTACTACATACAGTAGTTTTAAGGTACAGATAGTCCTTAACTTATGACCACATTTGGAAGTGGAAGAACGACTTGCCTTCACTGTTGCTCCAGTGTTGGAGGAACAACTTGCTCCAACACTGGAAGTTTTTAAGAAGAGATAACCATTTGTCTGAAGTGGTGTAGGGTTTCCTGCCTAAGCAGGAGGTTGGACTAGAAGACCTCCAATGTCCCTTCCAACTCTGTTATTCTATTCTATTCTAAGTGGAATTTTTGTTGCTAAGCAAGGTGGCTATTACATGGGTTGCACCTTGTTTTATATCTTTTTCTGCCCAGTTGTTAAGTGAATCCTTGCATTTTTAAAAAAGCGAATCATACCAGAGGTGGTATTCAGCAGGTTCTGACCAGTTTTGGAGAACCAGTAGTGGAAATTTTGAGTAGTTTGGAATACCACCTCTGACTGGTCCCTCCCCCATCTATTCTCTGTCTCCCACTGAGTCCCAGCTGATTGGCTGGGTCTTCTTTGGTTGCCCTGCACAGGAGAACGGAGCTGGAAAGCAGGTTAGTGGGATGGGGAGGGAATGGGGATTTTGAAGTATCCTTCCCCTGCCATGCCCACGCCCACCCTGCCATGCCCACCAAGCCACACCATGCCCACCAAGTCACGCTCACAAAACCAGTAGTAATTTTTTTTTAATCCCACCACTGAATCATATGCTTATTAGAAGAATCTGGCTTCCCCCATTGATTTTGCTTTTTTGAAAGCTGGCAGGGAAGGTCACAAATCGCAATCACGTGACCCCAGGATGCTGCAATCATTGTAAATACATGCCAGTTGCCAAGGGCCTGAATTTTGACCACATTACCCAGTGGTGGGATTCAATTTTTTTTTACTACCGGTTCTGTGGGCGTGGCCTGGTGGACGTAGCAGGGGAAGGATACTGTAAAATCTCCAGTCAGAGGTGGTATTTGCCGGTTCTCCAAACTACTCAAAATTTCCGCTACTGGTTCTCCAGAACTAGTCAGAACCTGCTGAATCCCACCTCTGACATGACCCATGGGGAATGCTGCAACTGCCTCAGGTGCAAGGGGCTGGTTTTAAGTCATTTTTTCCCTATTGTTTAACTTTGAATGATCATTGAACAAATGGTTGTAAGTTGAGGACTACCTGGACATTTAATTTTTTTTAAAAGAGCAAAACCTGGCATCCTGTTTAAAAAAAAGAGAGAGATGTCCTATCACGGTCATAAACCCATACAGAGGTTCCTGGCATTGTACAAAACAAAAAGAGTATTTTGAAATGTGTTCACTTAGAAAAAGAAAAGAAAGAAGTTAGCTGGGGTATTAGATCAGGGGTGTGAAACTCAAGGGCCGAATCCGGCCCACGGGGTGCTTGGATATGGCTTGCGGGGCCACCCTGAAAACAGCGAAGGATCGGCCCGCAGTACTTCTGCCAGTGAAAACGGAGCTCGGGAGCCCGTTTTCGCTGGCGGAGTGCTCGGGCCATAACAGATGCCCCCGACATGAGTGATGTTGAGCTGGCCACCCCCTCCCCCACAAGTTCAAACACAACCCTGATGTGGCCCTCAATGAAATCGAGTTTGTCACCCTTATATTAGATAATATTCTAGAAATATGGAGTCCCTGGTGCTCTCTGAGTTTGGCTGCTTGTACAGATGTTTCATGATCCAAGTAGGTAAATTTACTCAATCGTAATGATCAGTGCACCATCGGTGGCATTGATGATGTTACCCACTTGGGTCATGAAGCATTTGTAAGCAATAGCAATAGCATTTAAACTTACATACAATTCCAATTCTTTACAATGCAGTGTCAGCATATTGCCCCCAACAATTTGGGCCCTCATTTTACTGACCTCAGAAAAATGGAAGGCCAAGTCAACCTTGAGCCCAGTCAGGATCGAACTCCAGGCTGTGGACAGAGTTTGCCTGCAATACTGTATCTTAACTGCTGCACCAGGGCAAACAACTAAGATCAGAGTATCAAAAACTCTGCGTTCAACCCTGAACTACAAATACAATGGAGCCTTGGTACTCAACTGCTTTGAGACTCACTGAATTTGGAACTCAGTGCATTTTGATGCAAACATTTTGTCCCGATCCTCATCATTTGTTTGATACTCAATGCACAAGCAAGAACTTGTTGATGTTGGCTGCCTTGTGACTCACAACATTATTCCTTACTGGGGGAAAAATTGTTTGGTACTTATTGTTTTTGGTATTTATTGCACCTCCCAGAACCAATTAATGATGAGTACTGAGTTACCACTGTATTCTGTATTGTATATCCTAGAGGTTTAGACTGAATGGCGGGGTGTCACTTCACCAGTTTATTTCCTGTTCAATGTTTTTTTTGTCCCCCTGGCCCTGCTCATTCTGGCAACCATTTTTTGAACCTCGCACTGGTATCATGGCAGCCATTTTATTTTTTATTTATTTGTGAAAGAAATTTATATAGCCGCCCCATTCACTCACAATGACTCAGAAGTGATATATGGAAAGCGTAGCCACAAGTGCTCTCAATATTCCAAGGTGTGCTCATTGGCTCAAATTTTGCATAACTGGATCCAGAGTGACATCATAGCTGATGTCAGAAGCATGTCGCCAAAGGACAGCTGAAAGTCTTTTATGCAAACTGGATGGACTACGAGAAAAGTGTCTGTGTCTTGTTTATCACCTTCAGTCTAATTTCAGACAAACAAGGAAAGAAGAAAAGAATGTATCAGATGACATACTTGTGCAATGTTGCATGATACAAGCAAGGAGAATTTTGTTCAGTGTGAAGTTATGCGAAGGGTGACTTGACATAAACGAATCCTTGACTTACAGACATCCATTTAGTGATTGTTCAAAGTTACAACGTCCCTGAAAAAGTGTGACGTAGAACCGATCCTTGCATTACGATTGTTACAGCATCGCCAAAGTCATGTGGTCAAAATCGGGTTGCATGGCAAGTGACATGCATCTACAAGAGTTGCAATGCCCTTTGGGGTCACGTGTCACCATTTGCAACCTTGCAAGTCAGCTTCCGAAGAACATCAATGGGGGAAATTGGATGCACTTAATGACCACATGATTTATTTAAGTGCAGTTAATTTGGTTAACTAGTCTAGGAAAAACAGTTGTAAAATTGGGCACAAGTCACTTAACAACTGTTACCTTCCACAGCAATGGAAATTCTGGTCCCAGTTTTGGTTGTAAGTTGAGGACTACCTACACTGTCCCCAAAGGTGCTTTTTCAGGAGCCAACTGGACTTTCTTGTTTTTTTCTTTGAAGATGTTTTGCTTCTCATCCAAGAAGCTTCTTCAGCTCTGACTGGATAGTGGGGAATGGAAGGATATCCTGTCAGAGCTGAAGAAGCTTCTTGGATAAGAAGCGAAATGTCTTCAAAGAAAAAAATAAGAAAGTCCAGTTGCCTCCTGAAAAAGCACTTTTGGGACAACCATGACTTGGATGACTGAGAATCTCTAGATTACCTATATACTATAACGCAGGGGTCTCCAAAGTTGGTAACTTTAAGACTTGTGGACTTCAACACCCAGAATTCTCCAGCCAGTCCATGAGTTATCAAGCTTCCAAGTTTTGGAGACCTTCTGCTATAAGGGATCCAAGCCTATTGTGTTAGTTAGTGGGTCCAAATATGGGAGAATTAATATACTGTGCTCTGTTCTTACCATTATAGTTGAGGGCATGGGACACTTTCCTGCCCCATTGAAGTAGGACTGCTATTTTCCAACCAATGATATAACAAAACAAAATGTTTTTATTTTTATTTTTGTTCTGGCAGACTAGACCAAGAAAAAAATAGCAACGATTCACTATGGAAACACAGAGACCTAGCCAGAGTTAGATCAGTTGTTGTTTTGATGTTTTGGTAAATTGAAGGTGCCAGGCCTTCAAAGTTAGCAAAAATAAGTTTAGTAGAAGATGCACCAGAATTCAAGGTCCTTTAAGGGTGAGTTCTGTGGAGTGTGTCGGTTGAATGTACCTAACCTAGATAATGTTGCTATTTGAAACCTCCCACTGTGCAAGCTATCTGAAGGATTCAGAAAAGTCTTTTTTTCTAGCCCATTCTCTGTTCTTTGCAATGGGAAGACGGGCTAATGTGACACCATTTCAGCTGATGTTACTGCAACTGTTCTGAAGAGCTAAGTATAGATAGTACTCATCTTACACAACAGTTCATTTACAACAGCACTGAAAAAAGTGACTGACGACCATTTTTCACACTTATAACCTTTGTAGCATCCCCATGATCAGGAGATCAAAACTCAGATGCTTGGCAACTGGTTCATACTTATGACCGTTGCTGTGTCCCAAGGTCACATGATCCACCTTTTGCAACCTTTTGACAAGCAAAATTAATGGGGAAGCCAGATTCACTGAACAACTGTGTTACGAATTTATCAACTGCAGTGATTCACGTAACAGCAGTGGCAAGAAAGGTCATAAAATGGGGCAAAATTCACTTAACAAATGTCTCACCAACAGAAATTTTGGGCTCAATTGTGGTCATAAGTCAAGGACTATCTGTACATTTTCCATAATTATTGGCCCATGATTCCTTATCTAGGTTTGTTTCGGCTACGGTTTTACAAACCTGGGACCAGGTTTGCAAAAGCTTGCAAATAAAGGCAGGCAGGCAGGCAGGCAGGCAGGCAGGCAGGCAGGCAGGCAGG